TGCAGAGGCAGGCAGAGCTCTGCGAGTTTAAAGACAGCCTGGTCTATATACCAAGTTTCAGGCCAGCCAGGGCAACACAGAGAGACCTATCTCGAAACAAAAGCAAATCCAAAATTCATAGTTACTTATTTTTAATAGAGAAATTCATCCTTTGTAGTCTGGGCTGACTTGGAACTCATCATGTAGCCCAGATTGGCCTCAGACCCATGGTGATGCTCCTGTCTCAGCTTCTGAATTACAGATGTGCAACTGCTGCACACCTAGCTATGTTTTTTTTTTTTGTTGTTGTTGTTTGTTTTTGTTTTTAAACAAAAGATTGCAAAGATCGGAAGGAATGCTTCTGCGCGCTGTCAAATGACTGCTGTTTTTCTGCTGCGTCGCCTACAGAGGGAGCCCTTGCTGCAAACCTGATTTGTCCCTACAGACTTGAACATTGAGCCCATCAGTAGGAGGAGCTGAGAAACAAGTAGAAAGGCTTATTTGTTAGGTAGGTTGACTTTACATTGTGTTGGGAATCAGGGATCATTTCTTTTTCTTCTAACTTTATTCTTTTCCATCTAGTTTTTTTTTTTTTATTTTATGTGTATGAGTGTTTTGTGTGTATGTACATTCACGCACCAAATGTGTGCCTGTTGTCCTCAGAAGCCAAAAGTGGATTTGAGATGCCCCTGGTACTGGAGTTACAGACAACAGTGAAATACTATGTAGGTGCTGGGAACTGAACCAGGTGCTGGGAATTGAATCTAGGTCCTCAGGAAGAACATCCAGCATTCTTAGCCACTGAGCCATCTCTTCAGCCCTAGGATCTATTTCTTGAATGATAATGTTAGTTACAAAGGGATGATGTTAAGTTACAGGTATTTTGAAATAGTGTATGCATGCATATATATAGTACTTATATAATTTGTGTGATTATATTTATAATTTATATGTGATGTCTATATGTATGTGTGAATACTACTATATACACAAATAATATACTAATTTATACTTTTTAAAAAACTCTTACAAACAACCAAGTAATAAAAAGTCCTACATGTTGGCACAGGGATCTTCTACTTCCCTTCTCTGCCTCCCATCCCTTCTTTGCTCTGGACATGGGCTAATCAGACAATCAAATAAAATAACTAGGACATTCTGGTGACAGACCTATGTTACTCAAAATAGAGCTGTCTCTTTCGTGTCCCTCTTGCAGTTCCAACTGTAGTTGTGTTATATGTTTGCATGAAAACTTGGGCTGAATGCTCTGATGATGCTAACGTTTGAGCACAACCAGTATGGGTCACTGGTTCCCAAGGCTTTAATGTAGGTGAGATCTCCCCGTGGAAGCCGCTGAGATGGAGATCCCCGAGTCTATTCTCAGTGCTGAGTAGTGAAGGTCAGGAATCTGTCTTGCTGGTTTTGGTGCGTAGGTTCAGTCCAAAGCCCCATTGGTGCTACATGGCTAAACATTCACCCTGGTACTGAGCCCAGTTGTAGTGCAAGCCATTGTGGCTTGTTTTCCCCAGAGGGCACAGACCAGAAACTTTGATAGTGTTAGCTTCCTGGTTTCTGAAGGCATACAGGATGCATGGGTTTGGGGGAATGTGACTGTCTCCATTTATAAATTGACAGATAGAGCCACCACAAACACTGATGGGCTTCAACTTAGTAGTCTCAAGGCATGAAGTAGAAGCTTAGTAGCAGAGAAACCTGTCAGACAGCATCTGCCACATAGGTCCCAAACAAAGTGTTCCAGTAGCACCCTTCTGCCAAACTGTGGGGTAGCATTCCAGTGGGTCTAAGAGGCAGTACAGAAGCCAAAGGGATCCAACCAAGCCTTAAGAGCTCTGTCTTGTAGTTTGGACTTAACGTGACCCATTTCGACTTTCTTTGTGTGTCTCAACACACATGCACCTCCCCCTCATATATATGCATATGCTTGACAGGCTCTCTTCTCTCCTATTATCCCTTTAGAATGAAAATATCTACCCCACACCCATTATTCCTTTGTATTTTGGTGTTTTGTTTTATGAGTTCATAGTTGGAAAGAACTTCACCTCTGTATGGACAATACCTTGGATCTCATTGCATTTGATTGGGCCTGGTACTCCTTAAATAGTTCAGCTTGGCTTTGTGCTTGAAGCAGTTCTTTAGCTTTCTTGTGCTGGGGTTTACAGGGATGTGTCATATCTGATTTCGATGGCATTATGTGAACTTTGGGTTTGGGGTTTTTCTTTTCCTTCCTTCCATCCCCTTCTCTTCCTCCCTTTTTGAGTGCTGGAGACTGGACCTAGGCATCTCAGTGCTGTGGATATGTTCTGGTCCTGATCCACATCTCTGGTTCTGGGGTTTAGGGTTGATAATGGAATGACTTGAGACTTTAGGGAATATTGGGATATACTGAATACATTTTGCATGCAAGAAGGACATAGATTTTAGGACGCTAGAGGAGGAATGATCGGGGTTACTTCAAAATTTCTATGTTAAAATCCTAACTGCCAATGATTAGTACGTGATTTGGTCTTGATGGCTCTGTCCTCATGAGGAGGATGATTGAAAAGATCCCATAGCCAGGTATGATGGGGTTCCCCTGAGCCCCGGTATTCAGAAGGTAGGGGCTCTGAAGCAGCAGCTCTAAAACCTGTGTGTCTCAAATCCTTTAGGGGTCAAACAACCCTTTCACAGGAGTCCTCCAAGGCCACTAGAAAGTACAAATATTTACAATTCATAACAGTAGCAAGATTACAGATACAGAGTAGCAACAAAAATAACTTTATGGTTGGGGGCCACAACAACATAAGAAGCTGTATTAAAGGGTCACAGCACTGGGAAGGTTGAGAGCCGCTGCTCTCTAGGACTTGGGATGTAGCTCAGTGTTAGAGCATTAACTTCATATGGCCAAAGCTTTAGGTTTGATTCCCAGGACTGAGGGAGAGGAAGCCTCAGATAGCTCTGTTTGAGTCTTCAGCCACATGCAGATGCAGCAAAAATCTCTCTCTCTCTCTCTCTCTCTCTCTCTCTCTCTCTCTCTCTCTTTCCCTCCCTCCTTCCCTCTGTCCTCTGTCTCCCTCCTTCCCCCCTCTCTCCCTTTCCCTCTCTCTCTTTCCCTCTCATTTTCTCTTATTATTCTATTTTTTCCTTCTTCTTGGTAGTACTGGGGATTAAATTCAAGGCTGTACAGATGCTAAATGCACATTCTACATTGAGCTAATGATTACCACTAAACCTGAAGTGGGTTGAAAACAGCCTTTTATGTACCCAGAAGCACATCAGCACCGGCACCCTCTGCTAGTGCCCTAGAAGAAAACATCTGCTGTTTATAATCCACATAATCTATATTGTTTTGTTTTAGAAACCTGGATGGACTAAGACAATCTCTTTAAATATTTAAAAATTTTAATATGGATTCATGGATTCTTATTATTTATTTATATATTTTTTTGTGAGACAGTGTTTCACTATGTAGCTTGGCTGGCCTGGAGCTTGCTGTATAGATCAGGCTGGCCTTGACCTCATAGAGATCTGCCTGTCTCTGCATTCTGAGTGCTGGGATTAAACATGTGCACCACCAAGCCAAAATTAGATTTTTCCTCCTCCCCTTTTCTGTTTTTTTTTTTTGGGGGGGGGGTAATTTATTTATTTATTTATTTAATATTTATTTAAAAATTATCTTGTGTGTGTGTCTGCATAACAGATATAGTATGAATATATAGGTATAGTGACATCAGATAAGCTAAACAGGAAACATACCATGTGAGTCACAGCATGTAGGTACTGAGCCAAATTTGGGTCCTCTTCAGGGCGGGAGAAGTTGTTAACTGTTGAGCCATTTTTCTAGAGTCTCATGGATTCCTTATAATTCAACATATAGTTATAAACCATTGTAGTGTGCATAATAAACAAAACCATTTAAAACTTTTATTTTGGGCTGGGCATGAAGGTGCATGCCTTTAATCCCAGCCCTTTGGAGGTAGAAGCAGGTGGATTGCTGTGAGTTCTAGGACAACCTGGTCTAGAGAGTGAGTCAAGTACAGCCATGTCTGTGTTACACAGAGAAAACCTGTCTTGAAAAACAACAACAACAACAACAACAACAATAACAAATTTATTTCCTATATCCCCTAATTTGAACAGAGGAATTTTTCATAGAGGAAATGTGCTAGGGGTGCCCTCTGCTTTCTTTGATCTGGCTATGCTGACAGCCACTTCTCAGCAAAATGTTATATATAGTGGAGAATAGTTTTCGCCAAGATGTGAGCATTAACTGTGCTCATGGTCACTGGGATTAATTATCAGTGTAGCAAATACAGTATGAATATATAGGAGAAAGTAAACAATAAACATGCATATGCATAACACACATGCATACATCCTGCCACCTCTAACTCCAATCCAGTGTCACAATTCTCAGAGTCCTTTATGGATTCTACTCTATGTGATGGTCAGTCCAAGTCTCTTTTAGAAACTGATATTTGAGATGAACTTGAAATAATACTTAAGAGCCATGCAAAAATCTAGAAACAAATGTTTAGAGTCAGTGGAACAGCAAGTACACGCCCAAGGTGAAAATAAACACTGTGTTTGAGAAGCCAACTAGCCAGTTTGGCCAGACTGCACCGACTTCCTGAAGAGAATGGTTTGAAATGAAATCAGCCCAACAGGAAGGAAATGTTGTATATGAAACTGCGTAAGATATAGCAAATGCATAGACATAGTTTAGTAAAATATGAGGATGCTGGGAAGTTTTAAGAAGACCAACATGGGGAGCTGGAGAGATGTCTCAGCAGTTAAGACCACTGACTGCTCTTCCAGAGGTCCTGAGTTCAATTCCCAGTACCCACATGGCAGCTCACAACTGTCTGTACTTCCAGTTCCAGGGGACCCGACACCCTCACACAGACATACATGCAGGCAAAATACCAATTCTCGTAAAATGAAAATAAATAAATCAGTTAAAATAACTATATAAAACCCAGTAAGGGCTAGAGCCGCTTTATGATAAAGAACAAGAAAAACAATATTAGTATGGACATGATAAGAGACTCAGAAGTTCATAATTCAGTTTTAACTTTACCACTCTATACCAGATTTCAAAAAAAAAAGTCATTCAATATCAAATTGAAGGTTGTGTCTGCCAACCTCTATGTTTTTTTGTACAAACATTTCCTTAATGCTGTCAGCTTTTCCCCCACTACACACTGTCGAGTTCACTGTGTTTCCAGGCCATTCTTCTAATGAAATTGATGATAGGTATGCAAGCACCTTCTCGGCTAGAGGCTCCCTGAGTAAAGGATTCTTTGAGGTTTTCTTGGTTTCTAAATAATCATCAGAATACCAGTCTTCAGCTACTTCTATGCTTTGGTTGCACAAAGAACTAGAAATTGATGTTGATAAGCTCAGTGTCGTCACACTGCTGCCATTTGCTACTGAGGTCACCTCAGGGGACTCATGGCTGGTGGGATCCAGGAGGCAGAATTCAACTTTAGAGTGACTTCTGAGAGCTGTTTAAAAAAAAAAAAAGGCAAGTCAAGTCTTTGGGTCTTGAGGCTTGAGACAGGGTTTTTCGTGTATGCCTGGTTGTGTGCTGGGATTAAATGTGTGCACCACCACCAACTGACTTGGGTTTTTTTTTTTCCTGAGTTAGTACTTTTCTGTATAGCCCACACTGTCCCAGAACTTGCTCTGTAGACTAGGTTGGCCTTGAACTCAGAGATCCACCTGCCTTTGTCTCTTGGAGTCCTGGGATTATAGTATGTGCCACTATGCCCAGCTGACAAGTTAAATCTTAAGATTCTTTTTAGGTGTATCATTGCTAAGATAATGCTAGAAGGGAAGATACAAAGTTACTATCATCTGTAGAATGTTAAATACTTGATATTTAAATATTTCAATCCAGAAAAATATTCTAATTAGGTTGGAAATCTCAGTTCTACAATGTTCCTCTAAAATGTTTCTTAGAAGCATTAGAAACTATAGAACACCACAACCAATCAAAATGCAGTGTTGTGAAGCTTAGTCCCAGTGGATACATCTACAAAACATTCCCATACCTAAGGCTCAGGGAACACTGCAAAAGAGGGAGCAAAGATTGTAAGAGCCAGAGGACCAGGAAGTTTGCTGTGAGGTTGTGTCTCCTGGGATGTCTGAGGCTACACCAAAGAGACTCACCCACCTGACTGCCCAATCGTGAGCTGAACAAGGACGAAACCAATGGACATGCCAAGGTGAACAGGGACAAGCCCAAGAGGCCTCAACCCTACACTGAGAACGACAGAAAATAGGAGAGCTGGGAGTGGGAGGGGTGGCCTTCCCCAGGAAAGAGCACACCAATTGTTGTCCAGTGGCAAACTGTCAGCCCTGAAAACATACAATTAATATAGATGGAACAGGTTGTATTTAGCAATGTATATGTATATACATATAAGTATATGTATGCAATAACAATTTGTGAAAAATTGGTCTTAGATTTGAAGGAAATTGGAGAAGGGTATATTTGAGAATTTGGAGGAGGAAAGGGAATGGAGAAATGTTCTAATTATCATTTAAAAAGTTTTCTTGGGGCTTGAGAAAAGGCTCAGCAGTTAAGAGCACACATTACTCTTGTGAAGGGTCTCCATTTGTTTCCATGAAATCATGTCATGCGGCTTACATCCACTTGTAACTACAGCTCCAGGGGATCTAACACCCTCTTCTGGACAACTTGGTCAACTGAACTCACTTGTACACACACACCTCTGCTAAAATTAAAAAATGTGGTTGTTGTGGGTTTTTTTTTGTTGATGTTGTTTTTTTTTGTTTTTTGTTTTTTTTTGTTTTTGTTTTTCAAGACAAGGTTTCTCTGTGTAGCCCTGGCTATCCTGGAACTCACTCTGTAGACCAGGCTGGGCTGGAACTCAGAAATCCACCTGCCTCTGTCTCCCAAGTGCTGGGATTAAAGGCATGCGCCACCACTGCCCAGCGGTTGTTGTTGTTTGGAAACAGTGTCTCTCTATGTAATTTTGGGTGGCCTTGACTGGCCTGTAACTATGTAGACCAGGCTGGCCTATAACTCAAACAATCTTATCTCTTCCTTCCAAGTGCCAAGACTGAAGGCATGCACCACCATGCCTGGCTTAAAAAGTTTAAAGCTAAAAAAGTTTCTTAATGACTTTTTTTTTTTTTTTGGTTTTTCAAGACAGGGTTTCTCTGTGTAGCCCTAGCTGTCCTGAAACTAACTCTGTAGACCAGGCTGGCCTCGAACTCTCGAACTCAGAAATCTGCCTGCCTCTGCCTCCCAAGTGCTGGGATTAAAGGCGTGCGCCACCATTGCCTGGCAGTTTCTTAATGACTTATAGTTGAATATTACATCATTTTTTGAAAAAAAAAAAAAGAGTGAGCAGGATCACAAAAAATCATTTTGTCCACAGTGAGTGTGGTAAGATCCCATGCATGGGGTAGCCTTCTCCCAATAACAATAGGAGGCATTTTTTTCCTTTGAGACTGTATCTATTTATTTATTTTGAGACAGAGTCTCTCTACACAGCTATGGCTGTCCTGGAACTCACTACGTAGACTAGGTTGGCCTTGAACTGACAGAGATCCTCCTGTCTCTGCCTCCAAAATGCTAAGATTAAAGACAAGAGCCACTACTGTGTGGTATATTTTCTCCTCGTAAAGCTATTTTGATATTTTTTATAATAAATGTTTAAGATATATACAAAGACATACAACATTTCATATTTACTGCCAGGTAGTGTTGGCACACAACTTTAATCCCAGCACTAGGGAATCAGAGGCAGGTGGATCTCTGAGTTCAAGACCAGCTTGATCTATAGAATTAGTTCCAGGACACCCAGGGCTATACAGAGAAACCTTGTCTTGAAAAACCAAAAACCAAAAATCAGAAAAGAAAAAAAAAAAAGAAAAGTTCTTGGACTACTATAGAAAACCACAGCCAATCAAAATACGTAGTCGTGGACCCCACTCCCAATGGATACATGTACAAAACACTCCAGTACCTAGGGCTCAGGGAACATTGCTGAAGAGGAGGAGGATGGAAAGATGGAAAAATTAAACAATCAGGGAGTTTGCTGTGAAATTGTGCCTGAAGCTGTATCCATTAAGTCTCACCAACCTGATTGCCCAGCTATAAGCTGAACAGGGGTGGCACCAATGTGCATGCCAAAGTGGACGGGCTAAAGCCCACGAGGCCTCAGCCCAACACTGAGAACTATAGGAAAATGGGGACATCTGGGAGCAGGAGTGGTGGTCTCCAGAGAAGGGCACACCAATTGGTTCTCTAACACCAAATGATCATCCCTGAAAACATACATACAAGTAACATATGGACTGAACAGGTTGTATTTAGAAATATATGTATATATATTTAAATATATGCTTATTTATTTATTTATTTATTTATTTAGAGACAGATACTATGGCTGTCCTCAAACTCACTATGTAGACCAGGATGGCCTTGCACTGACAGAGATCCTCCTGCCTCTGACTCTGCCTTGGGATTAAAGGCATGTGACACCACAACTAGCTTTGAAAATTTTAAAACAGATTTATTTTTCTTTTACGTGTGTGAGTGGCTGGTGTTCTTGGAGGACAGAAAAGGGTGATGGGTGTCCTGGGACTGGAATTACAGTTGTAAGCCACCATGTAGGTGCTGAGAATCAAATCGTGGTCCTCTGAAAAGAACAGCCAGTGCCCTTAACTGCTAAGCCACCTCTCCAGCCCCAACAAGCATTTCTCTAGAGCTGTGTGGTCTATAGAACACTTTATCATGCTTCCAGATCTCAGTCACTGTCCCAACAACTCTTTAGGGTAGTTACTGTTGGTACTACTTCACAAATGACAGAGACAGAGAAACCACCCGTCATCAGTCAGACACCAGGCTGACTTCAACCTACATATTAAGACTCATGCTTTTTATATTATTTAGGCCAGTGTTGTACAGGCTGCAATCCCTATACTTAGGAGACTAAGGCAGAACAGAGTTTGAGGCTGTCAGTCCAGCACAGCCCAGCTAGAGTTAAGTAGTGTGAATCTGTCTCAAAATAAAACAAACCTCAAATGAAAAACAAAATAGCAACCAAGTAAAACTCACCAAAACCCAAACATTAAGTTTTAGAAAATATCACATTTCCTAAAATACGTTATACAATACTTCAAATGTTAGCTTCTATATTTTATATGTTAAATTCAAAATTGTTCAAAATATATTTTATAATCATTTCTAAAATTATGTAGGACAAGTTTTGAGATATGAAGGTATGGAATAAACATTTAAATGGGTACAAAAATCTTAAGATTTTTTTATTTTGTCTCATACCCTGACTCAGTCCAACCTTCAGGCTTTACTACATGATCACCATTATGATACCTTTGAATTGAAATACGAAAAAGAATTGATCTCACATTCTAAGACAGGATATTACAATTCTTTTCTTTAAAAAGATATGCCAATTCACAGAGAAAATTGATATTTCTTTGATTTTTCATGGAATATTAAATAAATAACATTTGATTCTTTAAGATTTAAAAAAATATTTGCTACACAGTAAGAATTCTAACAATTTATTGGAAACAAAAAATACCTTTTATGTGTGCTTCTTCCCTTTCTCTCTTCTCCATCTACATAAAAAATCATTTGCATTTTTTAAAAAATTAGGGAAATTTATAAATTTGTATCTCTACAATTCATTTACTCTCTATACATTTTAGTAAGAAATGTTAAGTTTTTGATGAAAATTTATTTCCCACAAGATGTTTTGCTTTGCCAAAATATATTAACAGAAAAATCAGTTATCATTTGAAAATCTGAGGGCTACAGAGATGACCTGGTGACCAAGAGTGCATGCGTTACTCCCACTCCACTCTGATGACCCACTCTGTGAGATGGCATTGTCCACTCACAAATGTGAAACTCTGCTTAGAGCGTCACCTCCTAAAGTTTCTGCCTGTCAGTGCAGCCTTCCCAGAGGCAGCCTTGCATCCCATGAGCCGTCCAAAGATAAGCCACATTTACATGTGTTGGCAGTCACTGGACTGTATCTCAATAAAGCTGCTAAGTACAAAACAAAGAGTGCTGGAAAGAAAGCTTTTCAAAGAGAAGATATATACACAATTTTGTGGTCTATTGTTAGGGTGAATTCTGAAACATTTTACCAACAGTATGACCCAAGGGGGGAAGAACAGAAATAATAGTTAGTCAATGTTGAAAACTTTTATGAAATCCTGTTACCAGGGTAAAAATCTCACCAAGCATTGAAAAGCAGGCCAGGTTGTGGTGCACGCCTTTAATCCTAGCACTCTAGAGGCAGAGGCAGGAGGATCTCTATGAGTTTGAGGCCTACCTGATCTACATAGTGAGTTCCAGGCCAACCAGGCTACATAAAAAGACTGTCTCATAAAACCAACAAACAAAGAACAATGAAAAATGAAAAAACAGATAGCCAACAAAGGACTTGCATCCACAATAGATAACAAACTCTTAGCTCAATATTAAGAAAATAATCCAATTAGAAAAAAATATGAGATTTAAAGAGATATTTTACTAAGAGAGTATAGATTAAAAGAAGATATACAAAACCACTTACTGACAAATAAAAATTAAAACAATATGTTGTCTTCTACTGAAAAAGACACAGATCTTGCCTTGGTATAGACAGTTTCTGACTGATGGGTGGTGGCTAAGGAAACTGTTTTCTCTCTAATTCTTAGCACAAATGTGCATCACTGTACACATGAAGAGGTGAGAACTCCTGATGGGACTTGATCATCCCCTTTCACTGTGTGTATCCTGGGGATACAACTGAGGTTATCCGACTTAGTTGAAAGTACCTCTATCTACAGAGCCATCTAATGCACACATATATGCATGCACACACACAGAGACAACACACACACACATATATACACACACATGCTTATACACACATGCACATGCAATACACACAGAGCTCTAAAATTGCCTACCATGGATTACTCAGCTTTTCACTACATCTTTCTCTTTGTTTTTGTTTTTTTGGTTTTTTGGGTTTTTTTTGGTTTTTCGAGTCAGGGTTTCTCTGTGTAGCCCTGGCTGTCCTAGAACTCACTCTGTAGACTAGGCTGGCCTCAAACTCAGAAATCCTCCTGCCTCTGCCTCCCAAGTGCTGGGATTAAAGGCGTGCGCCACCACAGCCAGGCTAAATCTTTCTCTTATAGCATGTACAACTTAATAGTTTCAACAATGCTCCTGGCATTTTAATCAGGAGTAAATCCCATCTCAAGAAACAACTTTGGAGAGATTTTTGGGTTAGATGGAGGACTAGAAGCTGCCTCAGTACAATCTTGTGAGGAATCGTGCAGTATAAACACAGCATATTCCAAAGAAAGGAGGTGAAGGAAGAGTTCAGAAACCCACGGAGGTGATCTAGCATGGTTGCAAAGTGCAGAGAGACAGGAGGAGGAGGCACCGGCAACAAGGCCAAGCCCAATACAGCTCCAGCCTCGAAGCTTCCAGCAGTGGGAGGGGACACAGAAGCCTTCTCCAGAAGGTCATCCAGAGGACCTGGTCAAAAGAGACTGGCAGTGCTTCTCACAGACACTCATAAACCTCCAACTCGTGACTTCAACCCATTGCGGGATGGGCCAGCAGTGGAAAGAAGTAGCCTTGGCCCAGGGGATGAGGCTGAGTGTCATCTTTAGAGGGGACATACTGTTTAAAATTGAACTACCCTGGGGTCCTGAGAACGGAGACTAGTTATGCCAAGGAGCCTGGATTTCTACCTGTCACAGCCCTAGCCCCAGAGATGGCTCTAGGGGAAATCAGTAGAGCATCAAAGGGACAGATACTGAGAAGCCCCAAAGGGCAAGCAGCAGGTAGCTTTACCATTGATGCCTGAGAACAGATGCCATAAACATAGCTTTGATTGAAGTCAGCAGGTAAGTCACTTTCTAGAGCCACCTCTCTGCTCTGAGGTTAGCCACTGTCTGGACCCTTTGAAACTCCAGCTAAAGCTTTTCTAGAGAACCCAGGTTCCCAAGTCAGGTAACTCAACCAACAGCTGCCTGTAACACCAGCTCCAGGGGATTTGAATCCTCTGGTTAAGACCAAACACATATGTATGTGCACACACACACATACACACTTAAAAATAAAGACTTATTTTTTAATGTTGTGTATGGATGTCTCTCTGTATGTCTGCAGCACTCTCAGAGGCCAGAAGAGGGCTCTGGATTCTTGGTCCTCTACAGTAACAGCCTATCCTCAGAGCCATCCCTCCAGCCCTGCTAAATGGATTTTAAAAAGATGAAAGCAGGTTTGCCTGTACGGAGCTCAGTGCTGCAGAAGCTTCTCCTACATCACACGAAAAAGGTGGATAGAAGCTACTCAGCTACAACATTCACCGTCCAGAGAGTGTTAACTGGGAAGTCTTGGGATCATAGGAGACCATGCTCAGCTCACAGACTGAAAAAGCTAAGTGTGCCTGCAGAGGCCTGTGGTACGGCAAAGAAGGAAAACTATTAACGTGCAGACAGCCCTGTCAGACAAATTGACATCAGACATTTACACTGTACAGACTTCTCAGAACCAACAAAAATCATGGTAAATGGAGATCAGAGCCCACTGTTTAACTGGCTCCAGCCCTAGACACATGCTCAACACCGAATGTCCTTAGGGAGCTGTGACTACAAGTGAGTATTTAGATTGCATCTCTTATAAATAGTGAATGCCTGTAAATGACACCAGCCAGTGCTGACGAGGATGTGGGGTGGAACACCAGTTCTCCATAGCTGGGGGTGGGGGGGATCGTGAATGGCACAGTTTCTCATAAAGCCACGCATACACACAGTATGACTAGTGACTCTTCTCTTTGGTATTGTCTCAAATTAGTTGAAAAGTCACATCCATACAAAAGCCTCCACATGGGTGTCATTGCATCTTTGTTCATGATTGCCCATACTATATCCTCCTGTTGGCGAAAAGACAGACCGAGGTTAATGTTTAGTTTTCTTCTACCTTGACTGTAGCTTATCTAGGTCTGGGCTTGTCTCTTTTTGGTCTGTGTCTGCACCGTGGCAAATTAGTGTTGCCATATGGTTATCAGACGTGGTTGCTGAGTTCAATGAATTCAAGGTAAAGGCTGTGTAATGAAGCTCTGCCGTCCCATTTGTCATCGGTCTCTACTTCAAATGCTGTATGATCATGAATTCAATGGATTCATGATCATAATTCATGGATTTAGCTTGGCTGTGCCATAGTGTTCCATTTCTACCATGCTCTACCATGTTCTGCTTTGTCCTGTGACACTGTTTGGACATGTAACATTGCCAGCTATAGTCTGTTCTCATCAGTACCACACAAGCACCTTGAAAGATGGGGTGGTATCTTACTCTCCCCAACAGGGGTGGGGCAAAATCTTCAAGTATAGTATGGATTAGTAGACCTTTGCCAAGTTGAATTAAATTACACTGGTTTGGTCAGGCTACCTGGTTATCTGAACACTTCTTCTTTCTTTCTTTCTTCTAGTCTTGAGAGGTTTGCTTGCACCACCCACAACATGCCACTATCTTCAGCCCTCTTACAAGCCTAATATGGAGAATGTAGGGGGTTTTGTTTTTGTTTGATCATTTTTTTTGTCTGAAAGGTATATAAAAGTAACTAGAGATGTTTTCATTTAATTTTTCTGTTCATTTAAAACCTTTATCATACCCTTCCCCCAAATATAAAGGAAAACTTCTGTTTTCTTGTTGTATGAACTTATGGTTTAGATGATTTAAATTTTGGCTCCATGCTTTTGTATATTAAACTAAAGCATAACAGTGAATACATTATACTTTAATGTCAACATGCTGGTGACATGGTCTAGAGATCTCTGAGGGGACAGCTTTAAAACGTGACACTCTACCTGTGATCGTGACTGGCCAACATGGAAGTTCCGGGAAATGAAAACACACTGAGGGTGAGGTTTAAGTTTTGGTTTGCGTGGTCCTTGTTTTTCACCAATTGTCTTAAATTTGGAATTCCCAAATATTTCTCTGAAAAACATTGTATAGAAAATGTTATTAAACAAGAATCAGATTATATGCTTATATATGCCACCTGAGATAATTGTCGTTAGTATTTATACATGGGAGTTTTAAATCAGCCCTCAGTTTAAACACTCTAACATATATCTGATTCCATTATGTCCACTTTTCGTGAAGTATAAACTAAGCTACGTATAGCAGGTTGAATTTCAGTTTTCAGTATTTCAGTTTGAATATTATCGAGTTACTCACTCACACTTCTTTTTGGCTATTGGCATAACCAACTTCACTGTCAGTCTTTTTTATAAATCTGTCTTTAGTTAAATAAAATGAACTCATTGGTCCCTTTTCACACAAAGAGGAAAGAATGAAAATAATAACCATAAGAGGATGCTTAATTTTTTTTATTATCTGCACAGTTACAAGCAAGTCTGGGGGTGGTGGTTAAAAAACACTGGGTGCTAAATAAAACTTCAGCTCATCAGAGTCAGAGAGAAGCATAAAGGGACAAAGTTTTCTTTATAAAGTTAAATATTTGTGATGGCTCTTCTTGGTTGTCCACTTGACTGCCTCTAGAATTAACTAAAATCCAAGCAGCTGAGTACACTTGTGAGGATTTTCCTTGACTGAATCATTTAAAGTAGGAAATTCTACCCTAAATCCAGATCTTTTGAGGAGAGATCCATCTTAAGTCTGGGCCACACCTTCTGCCAGCATCCATATTAAGGATGTGGAAGAAGTATGTTTTTGTTTTTTGCCTGCTTACCCTCTTTTTTTTCCTTCCTTCCTTCCTTCCTTCCTTCCTTCCTTCCTTCCTTCCTTC